TCGCTTACGGGGGAGGGGTTTTGAGTTGTGTCACAATAAAATTTTACCGGATCCCCCATTATTTGCAGTTAATTAACGGTCAATTTTCTACAGTCCTCCCTCTAAACTCTGCTTGTGACGACTGTTTCCCCCCCTCCCCCAATAAAACCTCTACCACTCCCCCTAGGTGATAAGCAATGATTGATCGCTATCTGTTTGATTGTTGGTGAGTACTTGAGTTTTTTTTCTTGTTTCGTTTTAGAACCGAACAAGTGTGAACATCACGTCCTCAAACAAGACAAGGAAAATCTCTCTAATTGTAAGATAAACGGAAAGATATTTTTTAGCTGATGATAATTAAATTTTCTCCCTAGATTCGGGGGTTTTAACTGTAAAATCCCATAAACCAACTTAATTTTTTGGGAAAGATTTTACTATTTTATTTCATTCCATCCAGATTCTCTGTATAAACAGTTTGACAAAGTTCATTTCAGATTCGCACGAAGTAATGTCTCATTTCAGATGAATATAATGACTTTATTCTTGCAGGTGACTGCTCTTCCAAACATACGGAGTGGGACAAAGCTAAATATGATTTTAGAGCCCTTTACGCCGACTAAACAATATGGACCTCGTAAGTACTCTGTGAAGAGCATAAAACAAGTACACTTAAGAGACTCTTGTGCAATAAAATCACTGAAAAATGTTGGCATGTTGTGAATCTTCCTAGAGCTGCCCAATTTAATAACTGACACATAAATAAATAACTACTGCACCTCAACATTATATACTGCATAAGCTTGACGATGTAGCTGGCTTAGATTTAATCCATTAAAGAATGACTTACATAGAGTTCCTGGTATATTCCATCTTTATCATGACAGTTAGCGACAAGAGAAAAGCAACGAGTTTCCTTTTTTTCTGACGCGCTACGCATCTAGGTTAAGTGCTCCATAGCGGTGTCTTGTCCATTATTTGTCAGTTACTGACAAAAACGTTGGAGCAATTTGAAAAGGATGTGATATGTTAAAAATTGTGATAAAACCTCTGGTTGCCACGGTATCTTGTTACTTCGAAGAAGCGCTTTCAAACACCTTTTCTATGCGAATAAATTACATAATTTTTTATTTGAGAATGCATATATTAAACCCGTATGATATTGAGGTGCATTTTCTCTTTTTCAGCCGTGTACACTCCTGGTGCCGTCCTCATAACATCAAAACCAACATCAGAGCGTAAGTAGTTGGTCGTTTCCAAATATATACGTCACGACAGTTGTGCATCGATCTTCTAAATATTGCTCAGTCATGTTAACTCTTTAACCCTTAAACTGTTATGAGTGACCAAGACAGAATTTCTCCTTACAATATCAATACAATATCAAGCAGACGAGTAATGGGAATAAAGACAAATTTTAATTAAGGGATTATTAGTCGATCCAATACCAAATTCTCCAAACCAACATCACAAGAACTATATGGCAGACAGTAAGGAGAAGTGCTAATGAGATCTTGGGAGTTAAAGGGTTAAACGTTATAATTTGATGATGGCAATCGTCGATTATGATAATCATTTCCATCCTTTCCCAGCCTAGAGCGTTTTTTGGTTACTCCTAAACATTTGTTGTTTAGTGACCTTAACAGGCAATACCCATATTGTTTGAGCTCTCTTTATATTCTTTTCCTCGCCTGTTGCTTGCTTGAAATAACAATTTCATGAAATGGGAAAAATAGGTAAGAGATATTCCTTTCTAATTCCAGGTAAGAATACGGCCTTACTTTATGGATCAATCGCCGTTGGAAGCCTTGTTGGAATAGTTTTTGGTGCTTGCTTGCTGATGTATTTTCATCGTCGTAAACCAAGTATCACTTTACCATCAGGTTTGAACTTGGAGAAGAAAATTTTCCATTGATTATTTTGTTTTTATAATCATTCCTTTGTTTATGTTAAGTTATATTGTCATCTTTAGGTACTTTTTTCCACTAATGGCAAAAGTTCTCAGAAGTGTTTTATGCACTTGCAGAAAGCATTTTGGAACATATTACGATAGATCATAAAGAAACTTTTGATACGGGAGCAGCTCACGTGATTCTCAAAATGACAACTCCCAGCGCTTCTCTGCACGCATTGAGGGCACTACTTTTTCTTGAAACACGAATAGTTCATATTTTACTTTCATTTTTCTTCTGCCCCACACCCCCTCCCCCTTCCCCCCAAAATAGAAAATTATGTATTCTAAATTCTAAAACTATATACCTGATTTTGTCGGCAGTAAACTTAGAGCGAACTATTTTCTAAGAAATGTACTTAAAAGTTTAGTGACTCTTAAATTTCAAGTGTAATTTGCGAGAGCTTGAAAACGAGGTTCAAGTTTGGTAATTTTTTGCTTTTATGGGGCGGAATGATAAAAAAAAAGTGATATCAAAACAAGTTAGCTCACCTGTTTCGTCGTCGCCATTAGCTTGTATTCGTTCGCTGAAGATATACTGCATAGCCTGCAAAGTGTGTGTATGATATTTACAACTCTATAAATGACGACCTTTCATATTTATATTTGGCTTCAGATTTCAAATACCACGTTTTCATAATTTACAACAAAGAAGATGAAGGCTGGGTGAAAAGAAAACTTCTAAAATTCTTGGAAGAAGAGCACGGTTTGAGAGTATGCATCCACTACAAAGACTTTACTCCTGGAATTCCTTTTACAGAGAGTATGGCAGAAAGCGTTTCCTGCAGCCACAAGATCATTGCTGTTTATTCGAGCAACTTTTTGCAGAGTAAATATTGTAATTACGAGCTTGAACTTGCCAGGTATCGCCTCTTAGACAAGCGGGACAACTGCCTGATTGTCATAAGGATCGACAAATCAAAGTTCGACGACCTCCCTCGAGAGCTTCGCGGAAGAAGCTGTATCGACTATGCTGATCTAACGGAGAGACAGTTTTGGAAAAGGAAACTGCTCAAGTTTTTGGATGTCCCTAAGGAGCCAAGTCACGCAGAGGTAGAAGTGGAGTCGGACCCTAATAGTAATGTCTTTGCTCCCGAAGTTACCTCAGAGGGAAGTGATGGACAGATGAGGAGTAGGTATTCCAGATTGGACAGTTCGATAAGTACTACCACAGAGTTATCCATTGTTACTCTAAACGAGGATAATCCGGTCTAACTTTTATTTACATTTCATCGTATTTAGTACGTGACATGGGTTATTGTATATGCTAAGCAGTGATCGTTTACCTAATACTGTAACTCCCAGGAATGATCAACATGAAACCTCTTTCCACTATTTAGAACATTTCTCAGCAAACAGTCAAAGAGGATAAACAAGTGTATCGGCTGGAGGCTGGTATCATAATGCAACAACATCTGTCAATAAATGTCGTAGAAATGTATTGCAACAACAGAAGATGAAGCATAACTTTATCATCTCTTGACAGTAACTAGAGCGGAGAATAACGAATCAGATCCTGTAAATTAAAGTACTTTACTGTTACGGGGACGCCACTCCTTGCCCCGCAGCCTGTAGGCTGTTGATGTATATAGGACAAGAAAAAATATTATTCAGTCATTTTATGTTACTAAAGAGCAATTTTTTTCAAAGCGGAGAGCTTTTGACTTCTATCTTAGCATTACAGCATCTATAAGCGTATCCAAATGATGCTGTGATCTTATTGTAAATATTTGGGAGGATTACCCTTTTGGCGAAAAGTGACGTCTGTTATAGTTAGTGTGCAATTTATGACATTAGAGTTAGCATCCCCGTGCGAAAATATATTCCATCTTTACCCCCCCTCCTTTAGTCCACCTGTGCTTATTCACTAAAAGATTAAGCAACTTTACCATCTCTAGAAACATATTTAAGGAAACCTCCTTCTGGCAGAGTAAAAGTCAGTTTGAATTGTAATTATCATCACATACATGAGTCCAAGGCCTACGGGACTTAACCAAGTTTTGTCTCGAAACAGTTGAAGGAGGATAAAATGAAAGAAAACAAACTGAGAAACTGATGGCTTTTCTTGGTGGTTTTTCGTGAAAGCCTTTGGACTCATTCGTATTTGCATTATTGCGTGAAGTCTTAAATAAGAAACGAAGTTAGAGTTGCTGCTCTTGGCGATATGAAAAGGTCAGCTTTAGTCTCGTTTTCAAATGAAGGCTTGACTATATGTTGCTCAGAGAAAATAAGATGTGTTAGAGAGAGGGAGGTAGGGTCCTGATTTGTTATTTTCACGAAAGTTACGTTTAGACAGTCTCGTGAGCGAAAATATATTTTTGTAGAGGTGTGCATGAAGACTGACTGACATTAATCGGATATTTTATCCGAGTAAACTAACTATAAGTTCTGTCGATCCAGACTCACTGTAGGAGAACGGAGATTTGTATTATTTCATTTTGTTTTTCTTTTTTCTCCTATGTGATAAGTAACCCTCAAGACCTCTGAATTTCAGTTCAGCTTCCCCCTCTCTCATTCAATCTTAACGGTCATTTAGGCTGCTTGCTTAGGAGCTGTCACTACTTGTGCATTGGTACAAGTAATTGTGTATTTGCACATATTTACTCCTCAAGGGATGTTTGTCGTTTAAATGTATATTTAGTAAAAACGAAGCAAAACTTGAAACATAATAAAGCTTTTACGACAATAATGGATGGCTAGTGACGATAAATGACCGATGAATACAGGAAAAGGGGCACCGATTCTTGTGGGACGCAAGGAGTTCTTTACATGACGTACTTATCCAAACTTTTCATTGTGATTACTCGGTTGGGGCTGGGGGTGGGGGTGGGGGGGGAAGTTGTGTTAAAATCGTCCAAGTGCTTAAAGCACTGAAACTGTGACAAACAAAGAAACGAGAGCCAAAACACCACGTGACAATATCGTTAAGTTATTGTAACATAGTACCAAAATATCTATGAGAAAGTATGTGATATAGCATACTACTTCCTTCGCCGGCGGCGTCGCGTGATATGTTTCCTCTCCTCCCCCCGCCGTGTCGTGTAGTCTGCATTGTCAGCAATACGTAGTTCATATTTTTGTCACTGTTTACAGTGGTTCCTGTAGATAAACAACGGTTAGTGGTATCACGTACAGACTTTTGGGAGCATAGAAGTATTGTATTGAGATTAATGGCTGCAAGGAACTCCAGAAAACTAAGCAAAATGATTGCTTTTTGGACTTTCACACTTGTTATCGCTGTTTCCGTCGAGAGATCGCAACAAAGTGTTTCAACCGAGTGCGTGAGAAAATGTAATCCTCAACAACTGAAACGCTTGACAAGAAAGGTATGTCACTTTCGCTGTGATCAATAAACCTAAACTATACCATGCGTCTAAAAGAATCTTAAATTTAAGGCGCTCATTTGAAGCGCTCATTTTATAGGTTGAACTGCTTTTAGTTTAAACCAGGAGCAAATGTGGATGTTAAATTGTTTCGAAGTATGACTCTGGGACTCCTCTTCAGATGTGAATCAAATTGTCTTCCTGATAGCAAAAATTGCGGAAGCGGTCCTATGAGTGTGCTTTTCACTTCTACCTCGACGCATAGTACAGACCAACAACGAAACTGTCTACAATTGCAAAAAAATGTTATCACTTTATTTTGCGCGCTTGCTGTTTAGGTCGACAATCAATAACGCTTATCAAACAGGGATGGAAGACGCACGACCACATCAATTTCACTTAGCTTTATGTTTGACTTCAAAGTTTTCACATCCAAACTAAAGCCTCAATTTTCTATTTTATCGAACTAAAATGGTGTCGGAAAGAGCATCGACGAAAGAAATATTTTAGCTCATACAGTTTTAATCGATTCATGTACGTGATGGCTACTATATTTAACGATATAAATTTGCATATGGAAGGTACCGGTTAGCACGAAAACTGGACAGGTCTGAAGGAGAGCTGGATGGCGATAAGAATGAAAACGGTCTTTAGAAACTGAAAACGTGTTTGTTCTTCGATCATTCGTTCAGGTTTTTATCCTTTACTGCAAACACGTGCACAGCTCAATGTTTAAACAATTTGTAAAGCCTTGATTTGTAGAACGGATCTGACAGCAGTGCTTTCAGTGGATTTGCATTGGAAGCCTAGCAAAAAACTTTTTTTTGAAAGGGAGATTGACAAATACTAATAAATAAAAATCCAGAAACAAGTATCGATTGATGAAATCGCTCTGTTGTTATTTTTTTAAACATTTTTGTATCTAGGAGGCGTGAAAGAATGAAAAAAATGCATTCTCGTGATCTCGACTCTAGTTAATACAAATAGAGAGCAACGAAGACAAAAGAGGTTGTATACATTCGAGATCCTTAATTCCGGATGTCAACCTTAATCAAAGAAATTAGAATAAACTGCGCGAAATCGTTGTGTATTCTTATCACTTCTAACCGTTTGTGTCTTGGACGTGATCTGATGGGATTAAGTCAAGCTTAACTTTTTTTCTCGGAAAAGACAGGAAGTACATTTTTGACATGTAAAACCAATGCACCTTTAAAAATAATTTTCGACCTTTAGTTCGTGAAACAATTTAGTAAAATGAGGTGAATCTGCAACAAGTCTAAGAAAACTCGTCTGTAGAGTATGAAATCCTGAAAAGTGCTAAATGAAAGGCTGTTGTGTCCTTTCATGGAGGATCAGGAGCAAAATTGAATGTGTTTGCATTTCACGACATTTATGTCAGTTCTGTTTAATTAAAAATTTACTGATAATTAGAGAAATTATTATCGCCAGAAAATGTTTTGGACGTTACATTTGCTCTAAATCACAATTTTTGCATCGAAAATGAGCGTACGTGATCGTACGGCATGTACTGCATATCGTGACACAGTCACGGTTTACTTCATTCGTGGAATATCACGCAAGCAACTAAATTTGCAGTACTCGAACCAAAAGCGATTCATGTAGTTAGTGAACCTGATTATTTGATTTCTTTGTTGTGTCGTTTGAATTTTTCTTTTGGACTCTATCGTGCACAACGTTCAATAGTATTCGGATCATCCTGACTCAACTAACCATCCGAAACTGCCCATTAATTTGTTCATTCGCGATGTTTAAATGCTTACAAACAAAAGATTGTGCCTGGTCAGGGAGTTCCAAAAATAAACTGCAGCGCCGTTGTTTTTATCTTTGATTTTTCCCGCTTTTCTTACCACTTTCTTTCACTTATTACGATGTAATAGCACTTACACTAATGCTGTCACTACGGAAGTGCTGTAATTGATTTATTATTATCTTCATTTTCGAAGTACAGTATTATCCGCCACTTCCTTCGCCAGCTATGGACTCTGTGTTAGTAAACAATGTCCTTTCTGAATTATTTCGAAAGCAAGGCAACAAAGCTAAGGTAGTGTGTATGGATTGGACATTGTTTATTTTATGAAAAATTACCAAGTGTTCTTTTGTTTCCGATTGCTAGGTCTCAAAACTTTTCTCAAGCTGCTATCACCAGTGTCTGGGAGTGAGGAGAGGTAATTCAGTGCTCTGATAATGTGACTGACTGATCATTTTTTTATCAAAAATTAAGGTTTTAATTGTACTGTTCAAGCATTGGAGTACATTTTATTGCCTTATGGGGTTTTCGGGGGGAAGGGGTTGGGGGTTCCTAAGGGAATAAGAAGTCTGAGAAGTAAGTGGGAGGAGGACTGGAGACAAAAGTGTTATGCAAAGACTTACTCAAACAAGCTTGTCACATGTTATGTGTGTTGTTAATTTTTTTCAAGTTTTTCACTTGTAATCTATTTACATAATTGACCAGTCCTCAATCATTCCTGTTCCTTCTTTGTTTATTGTTGCATCTAAGTGTGTTTATGCTCCTTAATTAAAGTTGAAAGAAATGTAATCAATGTAAAAACTTAAAAATTTGTTTTTAGCTTCATTTGATCTCATCTATCACATCACTCAATGACAAAGAAGTATTCATCATTGCTCACTAAACTGTTGATTATTGTTATTCATTCTCTTTGTTTTTGTCCTGCTTTTTAACAGCTGCACGTGGACAAGCCCCAGTCAGGCCAGGGATCTTTCAAAAACGCTTCAGAAAAGCTCTCTCACCTAATCCTAGTAAGCATTATAGTAATATCAAATGTGTACTTTCAAGTTTTTTTCTTAAGGAATAGCTTACCTAAGAGTTAAAACACCAATGGATGGAAACACAATAAATATGTGTTACAAGATGATTTGACATAATGCCATGCCAGTGGACTTGTTGGAAGTGTGTACAGAGAGCCAAATTCTGACCTGGATTGCTTTTGCTGCATGCTCCTGAAGGTGCAAGGGGAAGATCCAGAAAATATTTGATGAAGGGAGGAAGGGGAGGCTCCAAAATATGATTTGGAAAACACTAATATTATTTTTTTTGTGGGCTATTGCCTTAGCAAGTTGAAAAACATTTCATATTGACTAACATAGATGCAAGTATTTTGGTGTCAGATGAGAAGAAAAAAAAATGTACAGGTCTGATTAGGGGGTGGGGTGGGGGAAGCGGGGAGTCAAAATTTCCCAGATCCTTCTTCTGGATCTGACTGAGGCCACAGCAATGTGACGATTCGAACTTGCAAAACTTGTTTAATATGTCATCATCTCATGGGCATTGAGGTTTCAAGACCGGAAATCAAGATATCAGGGGCTAGAAACATTAGTAGTCATCAGTAAATTATTAATCAAATTGTTATTAATTTCCATTACTTAATAAATGTATTCTAGATTGTCCAGGTTCTTCACCAAAACAGACCCAGGACTGGAAACCAAGTAACATTAATGTGACCTTTGGTCAATATGAAAACACCACTAATTGGTATGCAAAGGTATCTTGGACTCCTATGAATGGTAAGTGCTCAGTTAAACAACTCTAATGTTTTCTCACTATCCCTGGTCGCCATCCATAGAGTTACAAAACAGAGATTTTTGTACAACATTAGATTCTATGGGTTTTTATTTTTGAGAATTTTATGGATATTACATGATCAGCATAAATGAAAGTCTGCTGATATTTTATACTTTCGGTGAAATGATTTCATGTTTTCACATTTCACTGTACAAACTTACCTAGGGATCACAACCAGTGTTATATCAGCCATTTTGTCAGTATGATGTTGCATTATGTAACTTTCAATTATTACTTTGAAGTTGTTTGTTAGGGGTTCCTTTATCAGAGGGTTAATCATTGAACTTTTTGTCCGTGAAGTTTTTACGTTTGAGCTCAAATCTGTTTGTTTTAACATAAGTTTTTCTATTCACATCAAGATTCAAATGAAAGCTGGACTTCGATACTCATCCGCTTTTTCGCAAAAGACGCCTCTACTGGAGACGTGGATTGTTTAAAGTATCCAAAAGTAAGGATTTAAAAGGCATAGCTATCGCTAATTTTTTAAAAAAGCCTGTTTAGTCTCTATTTCCAATTTTTGGTTCGCAAAAGTATATCAAAATATATCAGCTCCAAATTGGTTTTGGAGAAAATGAAATTAGCAAATAAATATAACTTGTGAAACAAAAATGTAGGCCTCAGAATTTTGGAACGTTTCCCAACATTATTTATTTATTTACTTGTAAATTTATTTGTTAGTTAAATAACACATGTATCCTCTGTTAATTTTTCTCTAGAATCAAAGCGTCGCGACAGTTAACATTACTTCGTATGGCTATCAATATCCAAACAAAATTTACTTAGATGTGAGTACCCTATAGATAATGACACTGGAATTTTAAGTGAGAACACAAATTAGGCTCCTCATTGTTGTGATGTAATTCAGAGATTTCGTAACTTAAGTTACTTTTTAATTCAAATAAGTTTCAAAATTAATAATTTTATATTGTTTGTCGATAACTGTAAGACATAGTATGAAATAAAAGACACTACTGGCGCTCTATTTTACCGTTTACCTCACAGAAAAATAATTATAAGTCAGTTTTCATGATAATGTTAGTAATAACTCAACTTTGGCACAGGAATCAATTAACTTAAGCAAGTGGTATTTTGATTTTCAAAGTTTGCCTTCGTTGCGACATTGGAATCGGGATGGTGCAGTTTTTGCGATCACGCTTCATTGACCATCGAAGGTCTAGAAAATTTCCCCGTATGAGTATTTCAATCACTTAATCTCAGTTAATCTGGCCGCCTTGGTTTCCGAGATCTCTCCTTACCCTCTGTTTTTTTTTTTGAGATGGTGGGTAGTGAGCCCAGTTACTGAGATATCACTTTTCAGCATTCTAAATCTGCATTTCGGCATTAGGCCTGGAAATTTCCCCAAACCATAAGCAACCGGGCTCAGTAAAATCTCATTACAGTAATCTGTCTCAAATTTCCCCCGTAAAAAAAAAAAAAAAAAAAGACGAATGCAACCTAAATAGAAGAGAGGAAGTCTTAAGAGGCATTTGCTAACTGCGGCATTCCGTATGTTTGATTTCCTCGCTATTTAGATTATTGGCCAACCTTTCTCTTCAGATGATACCGTAACTTTTGACCCGTATGGACCCGTTGTAGGTGAGTGGTAATCACAGATGGTCGATGTTTGAATTGTTTTTCAACTGGCGACTAAATGACTCAGCTATTTATTTTAAAAAGAGAGATTTTCGATTGAATACCTTCCCCTTTTCAATCAGATGCCAAATAAAAAAAATTTGCATTTATCCTGTCCCTTGTGTTTAAGCATTTTTTTTTCGGTTTACGATCCTTGAATGCAAAGCGCTCTATGAGATGGTGTATGAAACTGAGGTTATGCTAAGAGCAGATACAGAAGCACAATGTTTTAGTTAAAGGATAAGTTTTCATCTCTTTGTTTGAGAGCAAGAGTGGAGAATTTAAGAACTTAACCATCACATTAGGGTACACCAATGGCAAATAGAAAAATTCATTTTTATCTTTTTAAGTTGAACTTCTGGCCATAATAAAGTTTAAGACTGGTAATATACCATTTCGCTCGACCTTCTCATCCGTTTTTTATTCTTTTCTTGTAGTGCCTCCAACAGTTACTTCTGTGGCACAGACTACTCCTACAGCACAGACTACTCCTACAGCACAGACCACTCCTGCTACCGAGACAGAGACTTCTCCTGCTACCAACACACAGACTCCTCCTACTACTGACAAGGGAAAATCAGGTAAGTTCAGTGCAGTGACATTCAACAAATTGCTAATGGTTTCCATCACTGTCTGCACTGGATGATTAACTAGTGCCGTCCTAAATCTTATAACGAGAAATTTCAATTGAGAGTCAAGGGATCTAAATGATCTGTGATTTGTATGCCAAACTCACAGTTCCCTTTTCACCAATCAGATGCATATCTAAAACCCTTTTCAACCTCATCTCAAGCTTTTTCTGGCCCTTGAGGCCGCTTACGTGTAAACTCTTTGATTTCTCATTGGATCTACGTGATGGCAATCTTTGTTATGATTGGCTGTTGCGTTATTTTATTTTGGCCTACGATCCTCAAATGCAAAACGCTTTATAGAATGAAATAATATCTTAAATGGTTCAACAATTGTGGCTAGGTCGGGTGAGGCACGATGAGAGTAGCCTGAAAAGCCAAAACCTTTTAGCCAAAGGGTAACCAGCGCACCCATCTTTGATCTCTTGGTGATGGCATGCGCTCGTATTCCTTTGCCAGAGGAGATCATACCTTGTTATATCCACAGGTATCTTATACCTTGTTCTCCTTACATGAATTGTGAACTGAGACTGCAACATAGATTTCTAATGATCAAGTTTATATTTAGGTCTTACCATGATTGACCCTTGTGTAACTTCTTTGTGATTGGTGTAAACTGTACGTAATTTTTTGTTTCCTAGATAACACCACCACTCTGATTACCGCTGTCGCAGTGTCTCTCGGTGTCCTCGGAGGATTAGCGTTCGCTGCCTGCCTTTTAAAGAATATTTTAAGCCGCAGGCCGAAGAGCAGTAAACTGCCGCCAGGTAGGTTTTGAATGACAATAGTTTGTTGAGTTTTGCATCACAAGATAAGGGAGATGTGAAGTTGAACGTCCACATCAGGGGTGGGTAGAAATTGTTTTGATTGTGACTACTCCTCACACCTTTGTAAGTATCAGACAAAGGGTATTGTCGTAATATAACACAAGTTCTCACAACTGATTTGCAAGGAAATTTAGGAAGATTAACAACGTTTAAATTTTTATCTCTTACAGAATTCAAATACCACGCGTTTATCATTTACAGCAGCGAAGATAAATGCTGGGTGACTGGAGAATTACTTCCATTCTTGGAAGAAGAAAGTCATTTGAAATGTTGTGTTCATTACAGAGACTTTATGCCTGGGAAACCTTTTGAAGTTAACATGGCGGAGAGTGTTTACAACAGTTACAAAGTAATTGCAGTGTTTTCCAAAAACTTGGTTGGCAGTAATTACTGCATCCACGAATTAGACCTTGCCAAGCATCGCCTTCTTAAAGAAAGAGACGACAGCCTGGTCGTGATGAGAATTGATAAAACGGATTGCGAGATGCTCCCTCGGGGATTGAAGAAACGAAGTTTCATAGACTATGCCAATCCCTTGGAAAAACCTTTTTGGAAAAGTAAACTCATTAAATTCCTGGACACCTCCAAGGATCTTGTTGAAGAAAGCAGGAACGAAGACAAAGACAATAATAACTGTTTTCCAAACGATTTTATCGAAGAAAATCAGCAGAGAAGAACTACTTACGAAAGAACAATCAGTACCGCTACCGAAGTATCTGTTATTTCAGAGACAGAGGGAACCTCTGTTTAAGAATGCGATCTAGATTTATAGTCGTGTTAATAGTTATACAGGTTATTGTGTTCTGGAAAAAGGTTTCATGATACCAGCGATCAAAGAGATCTTCAAGGCACGATAAGCTCGTCTAGTATTCACGACGTTTCTATCAGCCGTTGTCGATATGTTCCCTCAAAAGTTGATTAAGTTTCGCATTTCTTTATACTTCTTGGATGGGAATGGGAAGAGGGGGGGATTTCTTTTTTATGGAAAACCTTTTCTAAGAAATATACTTTACTACTTATCGCGCTCCTGGAGAGCCCGAAGGATTTTAAAAGGGAGGCGCTTTGCAAAGGTTCGAAAACACGAGTAGCACCGCCACAGAGATATTTATTTCGCAAAGGGACCTTTACTGACATAGAACGGGAACCTTAACAACTTTGTTTCATATTAAGATGTCTTTCATATTTTGAGTTATATATTTTTGTATGTTGTACTTATCGCTAGCTTTGCTGAAATTAGTATATATATTTGAAAATACAAACAGCGACAACAGAAAAAATAGCTTTTGAACTTTTTGAAACTTGTTTATTTAATGAATTACTGAGAGGTTTTGTAGATGCATAAGCGTAGAAAAAGAAACTTCTCTTGGTCAGGTTTCAACCAAAAGTAGTCGGAACAATCACCTGAGAGACAAGTCGAAACAAATAAGGGGAAAACTGACTTGTGCCGGTTTGTCTTCATGATGCACGTTACATGGAAATGAATGGGTGAGGAGGATGGAGTTGACAGAAAGAGGTACCGTCGTGCCTTGCACCTCTTGTACCCCCGTGTGAACTTTGGTTGAGGAAGCCTCTTTCCACTAGCGATCGATACAAAAGAGGAAAAATTTGAAATTGTCGGCCGACTTATTACATTTTTCTAGCCTGAGTTTGCATATAATAATTGTGCGTTTTTTCTTTTTAAAAAATCCTCTCTATTTCATCACTATTTAACCTAATCATTAACAAAGAGATCTTGGAGATCTTGTAGATCAATCTTAATAATCGAAAGCGACAGAATTACCCGAGTGTGAAACGAGATGCAAATAAAAACTAAATCACAAATGGGCCATTAGGACTTGTTTGAAATTTGCATTTGAACCCCGTTTAAATGTGGTGTTTCGGCAGCTTTCCTGCTCATGATGGAATTCTTTGTCTCGTGACCAACCCTTCGTGAAACTGTTGCAAGTTAATAAACGGTGCCAAAGGATCGCAAGAACCCATGCCTGCAACAATTCCTTTGCAGGTTTTCGCAGCCGTTCTCTTGGTTCTCACAGGAGCATTGATAAACACGTTAGGAGCAAAGGTGCCCGGGAAAACAAGATGTTCTCGCGCTTGCGGTCTGGACAAAAAGATGTCTCTCACAAAGCCACCTCAGGTATGAATATTATCGGTGTCTTGAGATTTACAGCCGAAGTTAAGGTCTTAATTGTGATGGCCAACTCAACTGTAAGCGGAGAATGAAACATTTAGCCCCTGCTGACAACAGCTCTGTAATTATCCATTTAATTGGCAAATAAAAATCGCAATTGGAAGGTGACCGGGCAAGAGGTTGTGGCAAACGTTATTTAAATTTACAGAGAAAGGAATATGTTCAGTAACTGGATAATACGTCTATGAAGATAAAAATAATCAAGCACAGGAATAGGGCCTTCGAGTGAGCCGTAATTGGTGAGCTTTTCGTTCGCATCATAAATAAATCGTGACTTCATGGTTGACCAATTTGATAATGATTTGATGCACACAAGTGATCGCGATCTGATTTAATTGCATGATAAATCCATCATTTCTACGTTTGATAAATCTTCCATGATACCCCAAAGTTATTACCTAAATGGATATACGAGGTAGTTCTTTTTCTTATTAAAGAACGTCTAACTAATTTAATTGAAATAAAACGGTGCAAAATCTTTTAGGGTTTGTTTACCACATACTGAGCTGATGCGAACGAAAAGCTCACCAATTACGGTATCATATCAGGTTTGGACCGGAGACGAAAAGCTTTCGGTGCAAAACCAATGGTCATAGGAGAGCACTTGAATGAGGACTTTACGTCGTTTTGCCAGACTGTTAGGTATCGATACTATTGTTGGTGTTTTCAGAAGCATTTGAATCAACTTATGCAATGTTGTTTCATTGTCTCTTGAAAAGAATGATTTTTGCCTCAGGGCGATTCTGAGATTGTCATTCACTACTGTAGCCAGCATCGACAATGGACGACGAATGCAAACAGAGAGGGCTGTGTGACACGATAAACGGGCGCGAATCAGCATCACGTAAATATTGCAAATGCTGCCTCTATCGTCAATCATGCGACTTTTAAGTGAAAAGCAGTTATATTGTCAAAATAATGAATAATGATTAATCTTTACAAAAAGATATCATATGACTTTTAGATTCTTTGAAAAAGCACATGTTTGATTATCAGCGGTGTTTCTGTGATTAGCGAAGGATCTAGAAGAACCATTGAAAATTTTTGTTTACCCACGTTGAAGTGAAAATCTTTCTTTTCCAGTGCATTTTGGACGTAAATCACTACAGAGATGACTATACTTTTTTTTCCAGTGCAGTTTGGACGTAAATCACTACAGAGATGACTTAGAAATTCCATGGCGAAAACAGTTAAAAAACAATTGAAAATCAATTGACGACTGCATCTTCTCTTTCAAATATTTCAATTGTTTCATCAATCAGCCTGGGTGATTAACTATTGAAGTTTTGTATCCATTATTGATTTCACGCAAGGATTTTACAGCGATGCATAAATATAAGGAAGACCACTTGAGTTAAGCGACGTCCTTCAAAAGAACTGTGAGGAACCAAATTATTTTACCAGTGTTGATTAGTAGAGAGTTCGATTTTAGATTTGTAGTAGGTAGAGTGTCATAAGCACAATATAAATATTTCTCTGGATGTAGGTTATAAAGGGAAGGTTCACATAAGCTGTATGTAAACTAAGTACCTGCAAATTTATTTATGTAATAGAATTATTTTTTTCTATTTTGACGGAAGTATAAGTTTCCGGGAAAATATGGAAGAATGATACAGGAGTACGCTTTTGGCAAATAACAAAATATTTAGACCCGGACCAAAACCTATATCTATGTCTGTAATATTGATTCTAAAACAACTTGAATTGGAAAGAGAATAAATAGAATCACTTAATAACATGACTTATCTAATTATTTATATCTTGAATCCATTCTTTTCCAATTGCCTCTCTTGTTCATTTACAGCTACTAGATTCAGTCCTCTGCAACCGGTGTCTCAGAAGGAGATCAGGTAATGGAAACGGCCCAAGAGTGAATAAGCCGCTTAACTAAAGACGCTTTTATTCTTGTGTGTTCATAATCTGCAGCCACTACTAAAAAAATAACGCAAGGGAATAAGAATTAAAAGAAAGGAACTGTGATTATTATTTTTTTTTTACAAAAATAGTTACTTTCATGTCCAGGGGTTCAGAAGTATGCAGAAGTAATAATTCAGAAGCGCTGTCGGTTCTTGTACTAAGTTATCAATCATTCAATGAAATGTACAAAAATCATCTAAAATGAATATACGGTTTTGATGGCAGGCTGGTGACTAGAGTGACGTCTTTATGTTAACTTTAGTCGATCGGAAAATTAGGCCGGACAGTATGCAAGACCATATGCACTTATTACTTAAGAGAATGAAAAATTTTAAAGCTTTTTTTTTAAACACTTGCATCAAAAATTTCAGCGAATGTATTCAAAATAATCAATAGTTATAGATGATACTGTTTGATGATTCTAGGATTTTTTTTACTCTCATCTATCCTCAAGGCGATATATTTGTTTCACCTCTAATGCATCTAAACTCAAACTTTTAACTAGCTCTTAATATTTGAACGGAAAAAAGTTTTATTCTTTTGTAGATTTTAGATCATGCAACGAAAATTAACAATATTGAAATCATCATTTACAGTGAAGCACACCTTTGTGGAAAAGACAATCTTTCAGCGCCGAAAAAGATCAACCTTTTCGAATAGTAAGTTTTGGATAATTTTAACTCTTCATATTCGAGTTGAACATATCTGATTGAGCAGTGACACGATCGAATCCTTTTTATTTTAGATTGCCTGGGCAGAGCCAATGAGTCAACACCAGTACCTGAAGAGCAGTTTGCCTCCCGACCTCTTGTAGCCATTCGGCAATATGAAGATACGGACAACTGGTTCGCAGACGTATCATGGGATCCACTTAATGGTACTTAAATTCTTTTATGTTCGGCATTTAATACAACCAGAATCGTAGTTTCAGTAAAATCCATTTATCCTCGTATTTTATGCCGAGCTCTTCAGCGCAAGCCACAGAGTAGTGATTTTCAACCAGGATAAATGTTGGTATCAAAATGTGGATCCAAAATTCTTTAAGGATTTAACACGTTTTCCCTCTTTTCCGTCTGAGTAGCGACGGAAGTAGGCTATCGAAACGTTTGAAGCTTTGAAAAACATTCTTTGAACAGAAAATGTTTCAAAAGTATGGGGAGGTGAAGTTTATGTGGAGGTGAACTGATGAAACTCTGCATGCATTGCATTTCCGCCATTTTGTGCTTGTACTTCATTCCAATGGTCCATTATACTTTTTTGCCTTTCTTTGTCCTAGATCCTTATAAATACTTGAAAGGACACCTAATTCGCCTATTGGTTGGTCCTGGGCCAGAAATATTTTGCACTGTACTTCCAAAGGTGAGATCACGGATACCTTTGAGTTCTCCGACGACCGGCTGACACGAAAAGCTGTCAGACTTCTATAATCTATAAACAGCCGGTTTAGGTATACGTAAAATGATGGTGATCAAAGCAACGTCAAGTAGTTTAGGTAAAATCAGTGATGGGCAATCAGTCATGTGTCTTTTACCATCCAAAAGTTGACGAAATTGTAATAACATTTGCAAACAATACTTTTTTCACTTTTTATGTGCAGCACTAGTGCGGGATGAAAAACGTTGCATTCCCACAATCGGCTCGAACAGAACATATGAAATGATCAGTTTTCCACCGTTTTTTTTTTCAGAATCAAACTTCCCTCAGAATAAACATCTCACAGTATGGTTATCATTACCCGGATTATATAGAACTTGGGGTGAGTTTTTCTGTCCTTCTGATTCAAGTGATTTGGTCCTGTTTTGTGGATAGGACACTCGAAAAATGGTCAGTTAGGATTTCTTTTTTTAGCTCTTAATTTCACTTCATACTTGTATGGAGTCGCCGATCACAGAACATTGATCGGCCTTTTTTATTTCTGCAATCACTGATTTCATTTTCTCTTTTTAAGATCATCAGCATCCCTCATAAGAAAGACATCGCAATGAATATTTATGATGTCATCCCATGTGAGTTTTATTTAGTCAAAAGAATGATTTAATCAGTTTAGAAAATTATTCACTAGAATAGTACCCGCTATTCACTTCCGAACTAGCCAATCAACGCGCGCGAAAAGCACTATTCACTTGTGTGGTATCTACTAATAGAGGATATGTCAAACACGACAGATGTGTGAAAGTGTTGAAATCATTAAAATTCTGGCTGGAAAAGTAAAGACATAAAGCAGAATGGTTAGAAAAAATTGGAGTCCTTTTGAAGAAAATGACTTACTCGTATACCTAGTAACTTCTTTCGTATGGTTTTTGGAAAATTTGATGCTTTGTGTCACTATGCATCATAAAGTCCCTTACTGTGCCATCATGGTTTGAGAAACTTGTGGTAATGTTTAGGTTATAATAATCAAACAATCAAACAATTTTTTTTACGAAAAGAAACTTATGGTTGGGTGAAGGAGGAAGTTTCTAAAGATACTGTGTTGCTAAGTCGGGTATTACAAGATACTTTGCTCGAAACACCTGTTTAAAAATTTTCTTCGGTGGCTGATTTATATTATCAAATCTGTCTATACTAACAATTTATATCAAGGGTGGATTAATTTTTCTCGTGTCCAGCATTTTTGTTTTGTGTCTGTTATCTATTATCTTGTTCAACAGTACCATCATCAGAATCACCACCAACCATATCTACAAAGACAGGAAAAGCAACGACAAAAACTGCAACAACGACAAGAGTTACCATTACAAGTGATAAAATAACGAAAGGTAAGATTTGTGATGGAAAGAGAAAAATGTGATCCTCTGTTTCCTGGAACGGATTTTACAATTTTCTACAGAAAAATATTATTTTCTATTTTCCCACCAGTGTTTTTATATCCTCTCTATATCTATATGATCAAATTAAACGTCATGATTGAATCTGCAGTGGTTCACTTATCACTGACATTCGAGTACTTACGAAAACAACACTTCACAGTTTACTATTATGCAGCCTTCTTTCATTTACAGTTTTGTACTTTTATTAAGTCTTCCTCAGCAACAACTTCGCAGGGAACCCTCTCTAACAAATGCAAGTTTAAATTGAAGAACTCCAGTTTCGATGACCGTTTTTCTCTCCTGTGCCTTCAATTATAGCACGCCGAGTATTACTTTCTTTGTACAAATCGAGTAGAATTTCTACTCTATCATTTCAATTTTTTAATTCAACATATTTCAGGTTACTATGAACTGCGAAATCCAAATAAATGATTGAGCTATAGAGTCAAATGAGTGAAACGAGCTATGGAGTTAAACGTGTAAACTCTCTGATTTCTCATTGGCTCTACGTGATGGCAATCTTTATTCTAATTGGCTGTATTTTGCGTTATTTTATTTTGACCTATGATCCTCAAATGCAAAGCGCTTTATAGAATGAAATAACCTCCTTAATGGTTAAACAATTGTGAATAGGTCAGGTGAGGCATGATGAGAGTAGCCTCAAAAGCCAAAACCTTTTAGCCAAAGGGTAACCAGCGCACTCATCTTTGATCTCTTGGTAATAGCATGCGCTTGTGTTCCTTAGTCAGAGGAGGTTATACCTTATTATACCCACAGGTATCTTGTACCTGTTTGTTCTTACATGAAATGTGAACTGAGACTGCAACATAGATTGCTAATGATCACGTTAGGTCATAGCATGATTGACTCTTGTATAACTTCCTTGCGACTGGTGTAAACTGTACGTAATTTTTTGTTTCCCAGATTACACCACCACTCTGATTACTACTTTAGCAGTGTCTCTCGGGGTACTCGGAGGGAATGCCTGGGAAACCTTTTGAAGTTAACATGGAGGAGAGTGTTTACAACAGTTATAAAGTAATTGCAGTGTTTTCCAAAAACTTGATGCTCAGTAATTACTGCATCCATGAATTGGACCTTGCTAAGTATCACCTTCTTAAAGAAAGAGACGACAGCCTGGTCCTGATGAGAATTGATAAAACGGATTGTGAGATGCTCTCTCGGGGATTGAAGAAACGAAGTTTTATAGACTATGCCAATCCCTTGGAAAAACCTCTCTGGAAAAGCAAACTCATTAAGTTTCTGGACACCTCTAATGATCTTGATGAAGAATGTATGACATAAGACAAAGACAATGATAACTGTTTCCAAACGATTTTATCGAAGAAAATCATCAGAAAAGAATTGCTTACGAAAGAACAATCAGTACCGCTACCGAAGTATCTGTTATTTCAGAGACAGAGGGAACCTCTGTTTAAGAATGTGATCTAGATTTATAGTCGTGTTAATAGCTATACAAGTTATTGTGTTCTGGAAAAAGGTTTCATGATACCAGCGATCAAAGAGATCTTCAGGGCTTAATAAGCTCGTCTAGTATTATGGCGTTTCTAAAGTACAGCCGCTGTCGATATGTTCCCTCTGAAGTTTAGTCAAGTTTCGCACTTCTTTATACTTTTTTAACAGGGATGGGGAGGGGGAGGAATTTTTTTTTATGGGAAAAATTTCCTGAGAAAAATACCTTACTTCTTATCGCGCTCCTGGAGAGCCCGAAGGATTTTAAAAGGGAGGCGCTCAGATTGCAAAGGTTCGAAAACACTGACAAGCAGCACCACCATATATTAGATATTTATTTCACAAAGGGAACTTTACTGACATAGAACGGGAACCTTAACAAGTTTGTTTCATATTAAGATGTCTTTCATATGTTGAGTTCTATATTTTTGTATGTTGTACTTATCGCTAGCTTTGCTGAACTTAATACCTATATTTAAAAATACAAACAGCAACAACAGAAAAAATAGCTTTTGCACTTTTTGAAACTTGCTTCTTTAACGAATTTCTGAGATGACCGTTTTTGAAAAAAAATAATTCCAGTAGTTCGTGGTTTTCTAGATAAATGAGCGTAGGAAAAGAAACTTCTCTTGGTCTGGATTTAACCAAAAGTAGTTGGAACAGTCACCTGAGAGACAAATCGAAACAAATCAGGGGAAGCCTGACTTGTACCAAGTTGTCTTCATGATGCACGCTACATGGAAATGGATGGGTAAGGAGGATGGAGTTGGCAGAAAGAGGTACCGTCGTGCCTTGCGCTTCTTGTACCCCCGTGTGACCGGGAACTTCGGTTAAGGAAGCCTCTTTTTACTAGCGATCGATACCAAAGAGGAAAACTTGAAATTTTTTGCCTTCTTATTGCATTTTCCCAGCTTGAGTTTGCTCATAATGATTCTGCGGGTTCTCTTTTAGTTAACAGCATTGATTCGCGACTTGATTGTTCATATCCCACGAAAATCGAAGCCACGCGCGATTATATTCAGCTCATGGCTCACCATTTTCGTCAGCTTGAATCTCTGTTATTATTTTGATTATCAAATTTATAAATCTATTGCTATAAATTGTTCCAATAGCCTATTTTAACACTTAAACCCTCAAACCAGGGACAAGCCTGCCTTGTTTGCCAGTTTTCACTTGTAGGTGGAAACAACGTGCTCTTTTCAAGAGGGATCATATTTCATGCACTAACATGTAGCTTCACTGCATCCAAGTAGTTGACTTTCATTTCCTGAAGCTGGTTTTTTATTTCTTATCGCGTTAATCAAAGTAAGAAACAGGCATGATGTACTCTGAATCTCCTATCGTAGCAGCTGAAATTAATGAACAAGCGGTATAATCAGTGATGTGGACTCAAAAAAATTCTCCCTATTTCATCAATATTTAAACTTATCCGCATTAACAAAGAGATCTTGGAGATCAATCTTAATAATCGAAAGCGACAGAATTACCCGAGTGTGAAACGAGATGTAAATAAAAACTAAAGCAAAAATGGGCCATTATGACTTGTTTGAAATTTGCATTTGAATCCTGTTTAAATGTGGTGTTTCGGCAGCTTTCCTGCTCATGATGGAATTCTTTGTCTCGTGACCAACCCTTCGTGAAACTGTCGCAAGTTAATAAACGGTGCCAAAGGATCGCAAGAACCCATGCCTGCAACAATTCCTTTGCGGGTTTTAGCAGCCGTTCTCTTGGTTCTCACAGGAGCATTGATAAACACGTTAGGAACAAAGGTGGCCGAGAAAACAAGATGTTTTCGCGCTTGCGGTCTGGACAAAAAGATGTCTCTCACAAAGCCACCTCAGGTATGAATATTATCGGTGTCTTGAGATTTACAGCCGAAGTTAAGGTCTTAATTATGATGGCCAACTCAACTGTAAGCGGAGAATGAAACATTCAGCCCCAGCTGACAACAGCTCTGTAATTATCCATTTAATTGGCAAATAAAAATTACACTGGAAGGTGACTGGGCAAGAGGTTGTGGCAAACGTCATGCAAATTTACAGAGAAAGGAATATGTTCAGTAATTGGGTAATGCGCCTATGAAGATAAAAATAATCAAACACAGGAATAGGGCCTTCGAGTGAGCCGTAATTGGTGAGCTTTTCGTTCGCATCAGCTCAGTATGTGGTAAACAAACCCTAAAAGATTTTGCACCGTTTTATTTCAATTAAATTAGTTAGACGTTCTTTAATAAGAAAAAGAACTACCTCGTATATCCATTTAGGTAATAACTTTGGGGTATCATGGAAGGTTTATCAAATGTAGAATGATAGAACTATCATGCAATTAAATCAGATCGAGATCACTTGTGTGCATCAAATCATTATCAAATTGGTCAACCATGAAGTCACGATTTATTTCGAGAATTTGCGGAATTTCTCTTTTTGCCATTTGGTGCTTAGATACCCACGGAGCACTGTGCTGTTGCTATTTTTGTTCAAATCTCTGTTCTTTTTTTCTTTATTCTATATTTACTTGAGTTTTGTCTGCTTCACATATGCAGAGAGCGTACTTTTTCTTGGAAAGAATATCACGAAAACATTCTTAATGATCTGGCGAGGTAAAAAAATCAAGTAATGGTCGAAAAACATCATATTCAGAGACAAGGCATCAAGATACACATTTGTTTTCTATACAGCCTCTCGCTCTGATTTACAATTTCATTCATTTGCGTCTGATAAATTTTCATTTCAAAGTTAATTCGCGTTCCTTCGTGCTCTTCGTAGCTTTTGTTTTGATCAAAAACCTGCTGGGAGCAGGGTGTGTGATTTTTCATTCTTTTAGACGAGGAGCACATTTTTCAAAGCTTGGTGAGCTTGAACTTTGGCGAAAAAATATTAGGCACGCTGGCGTAAGTTGCAAGGGAAAACAGAATTAAGATTAAAAATGTCAAACACGTTTTTCCTCTTTTGTTTGTATTTTGATTAAAAAGCTTCTTACGAATTAATTAAGAGTTGCCAAGTTGATATAGTAGGGTAGTATTAGAGGATGCAAACCGGAATGAATTCTATTTTTCTTCTCTCTCCAGTTTATTTTTATTGTAAGAATTTCTTGATGTCATAAAACGGTTCAATTCTGTTTTTATGCATTGGCACGAGTTTTGAATCAAAAGTCGAATCAGCAAATGTAGGACTTGGAAAGCTGCTAGTCTTAGAAAGCTGTTAGTCATAGAAAGCTTTAGTCTGAGAAATATTTTCTTAAAACTCATTGATCAATTCTCAGCTATCAACTTGGAAAACTCCCAATCTATGTAAACTGCTGAGACTGGATATTTGTTAGGGATCTGTGGACCTTTTTAATTCGCTGCCGAATTATTAGCGTTCGAAACAAAACAAAAACAGGTTTGAACGACGTAGGGCAGTCAAAACATTCATCAAGACCTTACATTCTTCGTGACATCAGGTTTGAACCGGAGACGAAAAGCTTCCGGTGCAAAACCAGTGGTCACAGGAGAGCACTTGAATGAGGACTTTACGTTGTTTTGCCAGACTGCTAGGTATCGATACTACTGTTGGTGTTTTCAGCAGCATTTGAATCAACTTATGCGATGTTGTTTCATTGTCTCTTGAAAAGAATGATTTTTGCCTCAGGGCGATTCTGAGATTGTCATTCACTACTGTAGCCAGTATCGGCAATGGACGACGAATGCAAACCGAGAAAGCTGTGTGACACGATAAAAGGGCGTGAATCAGCATCACGAAAATATTGAAAATGCAGCCTCCATCGCCAATCAAGCGACTTATAAGTGAAAAGCACTTATTTTGTCAAAATAATGAATGATTATTAATCATCACAAAAAGATATGATATGACGTTTAGATTCTTTGAAAAAGCACATCACATGTTTGATTATCAGCGGTGTTTCTGTGATTAGCGAAAGATCTAGAAGAACCATTGAAAATTTTTGTTTACCCACGTTGAAGTGGAAACCTTTTTTTTTCCAGTGCACTTTGGACGTAAATCACTACAGAGATGACTATACAATGCAATTCCATGGCGAAAACAGTTAAAAAACAATTGAAAATCAATTGACGACTGCATCTTCTCTTTCAAGCATTTCAATTGTTTCATCAATCAGCCTGGGTGATTAACTATTGAAGTTTTGTATCCATTATTGATTCCACGCGAGGGCTTAACATCGATGCATAAATATGAAGAAGACCACTTGAGTTAAATGACGTCCTTCAAAAGAACTGTGAGGAACCAAGTTATTTCACCAGTGTTGATTAGTAAAGAGTTCGATTTAAGATTTGTAGTAGGTAGAGTGTCATAAAAACATTGTAAATATTTCTATGGATGTAGATTATAAAGGGAAGGTTCACATAAGCTGTACAAAAACTAAGTACCTGCAAATTTATTCACACACTAAAATTATTTTTCTATTTTGACGGAAGTATAAGTTTCCGGGGAAATAGGGAAGCATGGTACAGGAGTACGCTTTTGGCAATGAACGAAATATTTAGACCCGGACCAAAACCTATATATACGTCTGTAATATTGATTCTCCTGAAACAACCTGAATTGGAAAGAGAATAAATAAAATCACTTATACCATGACTTACCTAATTATTTATATCTTGAATCAATTTTTTTCCAATTGTCTCTCTTGTTCATACACAGGTACTAAATTCAGTCCTCTGTAACCGGTGTCTCAGAAGGAGATCAGGTAATGTGTGGAAACGGCCCAAGAGTGAATAAGCCACTAAACTAAAGACGTTTTTATTCTTGCGTGTTCATAATCTGTAGCCACCATACAAAAAATAACGCAAGGGAATGAGAATTAAAAGAAAAGAGTTGATTTCTGTTTACAAAAATAGTTACTTTCGTGTCCAGGGGTTAAGAAGTGTGCAAAAGTAATGATTCAGAAGCGCTGTCGATTCTTGTAATAAGTTATCAATCATTCAATGAAATTTACAAAAATCATATAAAATGAATATACGGTTGTGATGGCAGGCTGGTGACCAGAGTGACATCTTTATGTTAACTTTAGTCGATCGGAAAATTAGGCCGGACAGTATTCAAACCATATGCACTTATTAGTTAAGAGAATGAAGAATTTTTAAAGAATTTTTTTTTCAAACATTTGCATCAAAAATTTCAGCGAATGTATTCCAAATAATCAATAGTTATAGATGATACTGTTTGTTAAAACCAGGATATTTTTTTTTTTCACTCTTATCTTTCCTCGGGGCGATATGAATGTTTTGCCTTTAAATACAAATAAACTCAAACGTTTTACTGGCTCTTGATGTTTGAACGGATAAAAAGTTATATTCTTTTGAAAATTTTAGATCATGCAACAAAAGTTAAAAACATTGATATTATCATTTACAGCGAAGCACACCTTTGTGGAAAAGACAATCTTTCAGCGTCGAAAAAGATCAACCTTTTCGAATAGTAAGTTTTGGATAATTTTGACTCTTCATATTTTTGTTGAACATATCTGATTGAGCAGTAACATGGTTGAATCCCTTTTATTTTAGATTGCCCGGGCAAAGTGAATGAATCAACACCAGTGCCTGAAGAGCAGTATCCTTCACGACCTTTTGTAGCCATTCGACGATACGAAGATACGGACAACTGGTTCGCAGACGTATCATGGGATCCACTTAATGGTACATAAATTATTTTATGTTCGGCTTTTAATACAACCAGAATCGTAGTTTCAATAAAATCCATTAATCCTCGTATTTCATGCCGAGCTCTCCAGCGCAAGCCACTGAGTAATGATTTTCAACCAGGATAAATATTAGTATCAAAATATGGATGCAAAATTCTTTAAGGATTTCTCATGTTTCCCTCTTTTCCGTCTGAGCATCGACGGAAATAGGCTATCGAAACATTTGCAGCTTTGAAAAACTTTCTTTGAACAGAAAATGTTTCAAAAGTATGGGGAGGTGAAGTTTATGTGGAGGTGAACTGATGAAGCTCTGTATGCATTGCATTTCCGCCATTTTGCGCTTATCCTTCACCTAATGATTTACTATACTTGTTTGCCTTTCTTTGTCCTAGATCCTTATAAATACTTGAAAGGACATCTAATTAAGTTATCAGT